AAAACAAACCCAGAGACTGAACTAGCATTTGAACCTTAATGCAGAGCAAGCAATGCTCTTCTAGCCTTACTGCAATTACTGTATGTGTTCTCTAGACCATGAGCCCCTATGGACAGGGACCAAGTCTGATTCACTTCTGCACCCCAGCTTGCCCAGTGCTTTGCACAGATCAGGTGTCTATCTGTGTTTGCAGAATAAAGAGGACGACTGAGCATGGTGTGTACAATGGATCTAAATGAATGACTGCCAGCTTGGCCCAGCAGTAGGAAAGGGTAAGAACAAAGTGGTAGGAACTTACTTCTTTTATTATAATTTAGTTTAACAGCCATTTTTTGAGCAAATAAGAATGATGCACAATAAATACCCCAAAATTGAATTAAAACATCACCCCTTTCCTCACAAATTCTATGTTCATTAAGTAAAGCTTAGGATCTGAATAGTCCATCTAATAATCAGATATTGAGCTTATAGCTCTGGGATGTTTTAAAGAAATTAAAATGTTAAAAAAATTTTGGCAAGTAAGCCTTTATCTTCAAAGGCCTTTTGGCATTTTTACATAGTAAATTTCTATGGGCTTACAAAGAACCAGAGGCAGCAGGGATCCCCTCTCGGCATCATTCCCCATGGAATGAAAATGTCCAAGCTGGGTGGCGGTGATTTTAAGAAGGAGGTCCTGCCGAAACCGGTTTGGCTCAGTGGTAGAGCATCGGTCTGTGGACTGAAAGGTCCCACGTTCGATTCCGGTCAAGGGCATGTACGTTGGTTACAGGCACATCCCCAGTAGGTCCGTGTTTCTCTCTCATATAGCTCTCTATCTCTCTCCCTTCCTCTCTGTAAAAAATCAATTATTTATATATATATATATATATATATATAAAAGGAGATCCCTGGGTATGTGTGTCCTGAATAAAGACCCCAGCACAAAGTTCATAATGCTTGCTGAGTAGATTAAACATAATGAGATGTTTTAATAAAGACACTGACTATCTGCTCCAGTCCCTGGAGGGAGCAAGTTTTAACTCTGAGCAGTGGGGGACCATATCTCCAGAGTCCCTTTAAACTAGGCGAGGCACAGTCCCAGGGGATGCTATAGGGAGAGCAGAGATGGGAAGGGTAGCATGAGTTCAACCCCCAACAACTGCCGATTTACAGTCTAGCAAGTCTCCTGAGGGTTTACTGAGCGTGCACATCTGGATTACAAACAGAATGGTCCAAAAGAAACCTAAAGACAGCCAGCAGAGCTGGCAGGTTAGAACACTGACTTCAGATGGGCATGTGGCACAGCTCCTACTGCACACAACCTCTGCCTCCTGCGCTTGTGTGAGCCTTGATATATGATACAAGGTGCTATGTGGGTTGTTTCACATCCTTCCGCGAAGTTACTGATGAGGGGAGGTACGTGTCCCAAATCACAAAGCCAAGCGCTTGAGCTTGAGCTTAGAGTTTACCCCAAGTCTGTAACACTGAACACTATTTCTTATGCCTACTTCAACTGCTTTGCAAGTTTTTTTCTCCTTTGCTAATAAGGCAGTAACTGTCTTCTTATGAAGTAAGGGAGGATTTCAGTTCTTTACTTTATTTTTTTTTTACAATATACTAAATTTATTACCAGATGGATTTGGGTTCTTAGTGAACAGATCAATATACTTTAGTAGCCTGAAACAATTGGAAGTAGACTTTTGGGATACCAATTAAGCTCAAGAGACTGCATTAAAATGTGTACATGGTATGTATGAGTGGAGGGGATCTGATGAAACCAGAGTGATCTATGAACCTTAACTCAGAGGAAGCAAAACTTATTGCAATTACTATACACATGTTCTCTAGACCCTAAGCCCCTGTGGGCAGGCACTGTGTCTGACTTAATTCTGCATCCCCGACAGCCCAGGGCCTGGCACAAATCAGGGGCCCTTTACATGTTAAAGGGAGCAGACACCATTCAAACTGCAGATTCCTGCCTTTCTGGAAATGGAGATTCAGCAGCAGCAGTTGCTGCAGCAGCAGACTTTTAGAGTTTTAAGAGATGGCATAAATCCAGTTTGAGTTCAAATCAAAACAAAACCGGAAACAAAACGATGTGTGACTTGGGACATTAGAACCTGACTGTGGACTGGAAATGGCCCGAATTGCCATCTTGGGCTTCAGCTCAGCATAGTACACTGAATTCCACTTTACTTACCCACTCTGTGTACATAACATAGGGTTACAAATGACAATGGGAGCAGAGATCCTTGCCTCTGATCCTTTCAGCAGGTGCTTTTCCCTGGGCACAAAAACCTGCTTCTGGCATACAGAACCCCCCTCCCCAGCAAAAAAGTTGGGCACAAGCAGAAGAGAGTTTGTCAATCTGTTTAGTCTCTTTGTGGCTATAGTGGAAAAAAAGAAAAAAGAAAAAAGGCTATGTTAAATCCCCTACAGGACACCCTTTGGGGGTGGGGGGTGTATGTGTGTGGGGAGGTTGCACACTGAGACCTATAGTGGGAGATTTGGGCAAATATTTAGTTGTTCTGCGTTTCTGTTTCTTCATCTGAAAAATGGAGTAGTATTTATATCCTTCAGTTCATTCATTAACATTTGTTAATCATCAAGCATGGAGTATAATGATGCCTGAGATGGTTCCTGCACACTCAGAGTTTATGTAGCAAAAGCAGACCAATAATTATACCAAGTTAACTCATCACATTTGTGCTTAATGCTGAAGAGATACAGGGGTGGTGGGAAGATTAGAAGTAAGGTATGTAAATGCCTGACATGAATGAAATGGAAGGGTAAGCAGTGGAGTAAGTAAGAACATGTTGGGAATGTACCATGTCAGTGCAGGTTATAGCTCTTAGGAAAGATGCATCCTAAATAAAAACTAAATGATTAAGCCACCATCCAAACTTTCTGGCCATGAATACTTTAGACTGGCTAAGTAGCAGGGGACCCTAAAGTATTACTGTATGGTTTGAATGAGGAGAGAAGCACCCTGGCTCTCCCTTCCCCCACTCTCCGCTTTTCGATAACAGCATCCCCAGAGAGGGGAAAAGAAAAAGCTAGAAGGGGAAGCAGCTTCAGGGTCAGAAGTCAGACCAGTTGAGGGTGGGTTCCAACCTGAGCAGTCAGTCCCATTCCTCTATAACCAGTTGTAGCCTAGGGTAGGGGTTGGAGCTTCTGATAGTCAGTAGTGCTATTTTCATTAATTAAAATTTTTATTGTGATGAGATACAAAGGAGGCCAGCATCAAAACTGGGTGATAATAGGCACAGGTTCTCAACAGATTTGTTCTCTCATTCACCTAGTTCAGGTGTCGGCAACCTACGGCTCCAGAGCCGCATGCAGCTCTTTTGAAGCTTTACCGCGGCTCCGACAACTTGCAAACCTGTGTGAAAATGAAGGTAACGTCTTACAGCCCTGATGTGCTGACACTGTGCACTGAGGTTCAGGAGCAAAAATCCCATTAACCAGGTAATTAAATATTTTAATTAGCTATTAATTTGCAAAAATATATTTTACATTGTTAAGTGAAAAAGTCCTTTTTTTCCCTTCAGATTGACAGCTAACTGCACATCCGGTATATAGCATTAAGGTAAGAAACAAGCAGTGTTATATTTGTTTTAAATGTCGCAATGGTTTTGCGGCTCCCAGGTTGTTTTTTCCTTCGGAAATGGGTCCAAGTGGCTCTTTATGTCTTAAAGGTTGCAGACCCCTGACCTAGTTCTTTCTATCCCATGTCAGAAAGGCCTTGGGCTAGGTGTGGAGGACCAGGTAGATGACATAGGCTGTGCCCTTGTGGAGTTCACAGTCCGGTGTAGAAATAGACACATAAACAAAACATTTCATCACAGAATGGGGAGTGATACCAGAGGAGAGCACTGGGGCTGTGGGCACAGAGGGTACCTCACACAACCAGGGAGCTGAGGACTTTCTGGGAACAGTACCCCAAATGGCATCCCCACTCACATGCACAATTCCAGAGATTCTATTAGGAGGCTGTCAAGAGCCATGCCTTCTGGCTGCACCAGCCTCCCAGAGTCCCCTGCTGCTCGATGCAGTGTCTGCAGAGCCAAACGCATCTTCAGCCACGCCTCAGCCTCATCCGGCGCCGCATCGGACCCTCCAAGACTCCTGCAGGAGCCTGCCTTCCCTGGCAAGCTCAGCCAAAAGACCAACTCATAACTCTTTTGTCAAAGCAAGCTTAGGGCGAGCCACCCAGCCCCAGGTGCCACAACCCCCACCCCCCTCCCCAGAGCACCCGTGGTTCCTGCCACCCGGACCGCTTGGTGAACACTGGCAAGGTACCTCCCATGAAACCCTTGGCCCAGAAGAAAGTGACCTTCCAGGAGGCAGGCTGGAAGGTTTGGCGAGTCCTCTGACTGCACAGTCTCAGCAGAATTCGCCAAACCCAGGGACCAAGAGGGGCAGGGCAGGCGTCTTGTGGGTCAGGGGTGTAGAGGAGAGAGCAGGTAGGCTCTGCTGGGTTCCCACCTCAGTGCAGGAGCCTCCCCAGAGAGAGTCTTCTGGGCAGCCTGGCGCTCTGCTCCAGCTGCCCCGCCGGGCAGGGCGAGGAGGGAGGCCCGGGAGACACCGGCCGGGGGCACAGCTGCTAAGGGGGCAGTGAGGGGAAGGGGTGGAGCCGCTCTCAGGGGCGAAAGGGAAGAGGCTGCATGCAGCCTTCCAGGCCCCATCACCCCGAGATGGTCCGGGGGTGGGGGTGGGGGGTGGAGGCTCAGGTGGGCCTGGGGGCAGTGAGAGTAGTGCTGAGCGGTGGCTCAGGACGAGAGCCTGGAATCAGGGCGGGGGTCCCCCCAGGGCGTCTAGCTTCTGTTTCCGGCGGGAGGAGACGGGAGGGGCTGGCAGCGTGGTCTCAGAGCCAGCCGGCCGTGCCCCCGCTTTGGAGAGAGGGGTCCGGCCTTGGCAGAGAAAGCCTCAGCCTCGGCCCTGGGGGTGCGAGGATCTATCCCCAAACCCGTTCCGCCTGGAAGAGCCGGGGCAGCCGCCCTCGCCTCGCTCGCTCCTACCTGCTCCAACTTGGGCTCGTCCTCTTCCCTGGTTCCATCGCGGACGGGCTCCGCCGGCACTTCGGGGGTCCCTGCACCCGCTCCGGCTTCCAAGATCGGCGGCGGCGGGGGCTCGGGCACCTGAGGCTTCTGCGGCCCCGCGGCCCGCGCCCGCTCGCGCCGGCCCGCGCCCCCGCTCAGCCTGCTCCGCCTCCGAGTCATGCCGCCGCCCGCGCCTCTCCCTCGCTCCGCTCGCGCCGCCGCCGCCGCCGCCGCTCCCCTCGCAGGACAACAGCCAATATGGCGGCGCCCGGCTCCCCGCGGCCGCTGCCAGCAGGTCAGAGGGCACGCGGAGTCCGCGCCGCCGCACTAGCCCCCCGAGGCTGCCCGCGCCATTTTGAAGAAGGTCGCCACCCAGAGCTCCGAGGGAGGAAGAACGTGGAGGGAGACGCCCTCCCTCCGGGGTCTCGCGACGCGCGCGAGGAGGGGACGTCCGCCGCGGGGAGCGCGCCGCCCGGCCCTGGCCGCCCAGGACCGAACCTGGAGGCGTGAATGGGTTTCTGCGTGGCCGCGGCACTGTCGCACCCGCCACCCGACTGCTCACACTCGCAACGAGAGCCAGGTACGGCCGTCCCCGCTTTGCGGCGGCCAACATCTAGGCCCCAAAAGGCAAAAATGCTCAACATCGCCCAGGGCTCGTGGACGGGCTGACGGGAGGGGCCGAACGCATCGTCCAGGCCTGAATTTGCCGCGTGTGACCCACCGAGAGGCCAGCGTCCGGGGCCTCTCTCCCCGCCTGGCGGGAAAGTGGACACTGAACACAATGACACCCAGTGTGATAAACTGGCACGTATTAGGTCAGTGTTTAAAAAAAAAAAATGTTTCCCAAAAAGGAGAGGATTTTGAGTAGTACACAATTAAAAAAATATATAATAATTGGCCCTGACCGGTTGCCACAGTGGATAGAGCGTCAGTCTGTAGACTGAAGGGTCCCGGGTTCGATGTCAGGGACATCTGCCTTGGTTGTGGGCAAATCCCCAGTGGGGGGTGTGCAGGAGGCAGCTGATCGATACATATAATTGTGTATTGTTAAAAGTGGAATTTCCCCCCCCCCCCCCGTTTTCTTCTTTTTTGAATATTTAACACATGCACACAGTTTTATTTTAATTTTTCTACCACCATTTATCTCCCCCCTCATACTCTTCACCTTCACCCACCCCCCTTTCCCCTGCAATCACCATACTATTGTCCATGAATTTTTTTTTTTCTTTCCCCCAGCTGTCAGCCTGCTATCTATTGAGTTTGTCAATATTTTGCTTGTCAGTTCAGTTTGTTCATTAGATTCCACATAGGTGTGAAATCATCATGGTATTTGTCTTTCTTCACTTATTTCACTTAACATGATGTTCTCCAAATCCTTCCATGTTGTGGCAGAGGGTAAATGTTTCTTCTTTTTCCCCCCACTGAGTAGTATTCCATTGTATAAATGTGCCATAGCTGTTTTATTTCCTGATGGACACTTGAGGTGCTTCCAAATCTTGGCTATTGTAATAGTGCTGCAATGAACATAGGGGTGGGTGCACATATTCTTTCTTTTTAAAAAATGATGTTTTCATTGATTTTAGAGAGGAGGGAGAGAAATAGAGGGACAGAGAGGAACATCTCTCGGCTGCCTCCTGCACGGCCCCTACTGGAGCATCAGAGGCATGTACCCTGACTGGAATTGGTCTGGTGACCTCTTGGTTCATGGGTCAATGCTCAACCACTGAGCCACACATATTCTTTTCTTTTTTTTAATTTTCAAGCTTTAATCATTAATGTTCTTTTCTTTCTTTTTAAAAAATATATTTTATTGATTTTTTACTGAGAGGAAGAGAGAGGGATAGAGAGTTAGAAACATCGATCAGCTGCCTCTTGCATATCCCTTACTGGGGATGTGCTCACAACCAAGGAACATGCCCTTGACCAGAATCGAACCTGGAACCTTTCAGTTCACAGGCTGACACTCTATCCACTGAGCCAAACCGGTTTCGGCAAGAGCCACACATATTCTACACATATTCTTTCAAATTAGTGTTTTGGGTTTCTTTGGATATATTCCCAGAAATGGAATCACTGAATCATAAAGCAGTTTCATTTTTAATTGTTTGAGGTATCTCCATACTGCTTTCCTCAGTGGCTGCACCAGTCTGCATTCCCACCTGGAGAGGAGTAGAGATGAGGTCCAGTGTGAAAGATCTGATGCCCAGAGTGAGAATTGGACCTTCCATGTGGGTGCTAGTGCCCCAGCACAGTTCACATTACTGTACAATGGTCTCTGTAACAACTAGGCCCATAGGGCCTGGGAGAGGTCCGGGCAAAGTCCAACACACTTGTCACAGATACCGTTGTACAATAGTATGAACTGTGCAAATTTAACAGCTATGTTTGCTAGAATGTAAATAGAAAATTGCTAGTAGATAGTTTTATTACCGGAGTGACCGGTAATTACTCCAAATCACTAATTAAATGGACAAAAGCAATTGAACCCATGTTACAGGGCCACAAGGGAAGACCATAAAGGCAAGGAATGAAAATGGCAGACACCCCTTGTCTGGGGTGTTTGGGAAGCAAATCTCCCAAAGAGAGGAGAGACTTTCTATTTCTCCCCACCCCATCATGCATTTGGCCTCCAAGTCTTGTTGATTCTGCCTTCAAAATATTTACTTCAACCCTAGCTGGTTTTTAAAAATATATCCGGGCTTGGTTGCTGCTGCTCTGGGCCTGGCTGCTCCCGACCCAGCTGCTCTGGGCCCGGCTGCTCCGGGCCCGGCCGCTCCGGGCCTGGGTGCTCCTGGCCTGGTCACCCTGGGCTTGGCTGCCTCCACCCCAGGCCTGGCTGCCCCAGGCCTGGCTGCTGCTGTTCTGAGGGCCCAGCTGCCACTGCCTTGTGTCTGGCCACTCTGGGCCTGGCCGCCGCCGTTCCAACATTCTGTCCTTTCTTTTTAAACGCATTTATGTTGCAATGTTGGCTGCTGAGTTGAGTTCTGACTTAGTCTTCGATTTTTCAAGATCTTCTTTGTATTCTTTCTTAAGTAATTTTACTATCTTTTGCTATAACTTGATTTCTTCATATTGAAAACTTCTTCGGTTTCTTCCTCCTTGTCCTGGAAGCTCAGCAGGTTGGCCTGCGGCACCCCTTTGTTCTCTGTGGGCTCCTGTGCGGCTTCAGCCTGTTGGAGGGGTCGGCGCCACCCAGGAAGCAGCCCTTAGCCTCGGCTCCGTGGCCTGCGCTCAGCGGTCGAGGGCCCAGCGGCACCCCCCCTGGGGGCCCTGTCCCCCAGCTCCTTGCCGGCGCCTGGCTGGCTGGTGTCCGGCAGCGGCTCCTGCTCCTCATCGCCTTCCTCCCAGTCTGGAGCTTTTTTCCTCCTTCCCGCTAGGGGAGTCTAGCATCAGAGTCCAGAGGCTCTGCCCCTCGCCGTTCTCCTGGGACTCCGTCTCACAGCCCCGTCTCCCTCTGTTTGAGCCTGGGTCCCCAGGGATTGGCCTAGAACTGGGGTTCAGAGCAGTCAGAACTGGGGCTCAGCACAGCCGGAGGTTTTGTTTCCTTCTCGCCAGGGCAGTCCAGCATCAGAGTCAACATTCCGTCCTCTGCGCGCAATGTGTGCGACTCCAGGGGGCTCCACTTTTTCGCTGCTCCCCTGGGATTCCGCCTTACAGCCCCATCTCCTCCTACCTGAGCCTGGGTCCCCAGGGTCTGGCCCAGAACTGGGGCTCAGCGCTGCCGGTTCTGGGGTTCAGCCCAGGCCGGGGCTTTTATTTCCTTCCTGCTAGGGAACACCAGGCAGGCACCTAGCCTTCTCCTCTCCGACTCTGTCTTCTTCGCGCGCGAGTGCGTGCGTGCAGCATGTCTCCGTACCTTAGGCTTTTTCAGCTCTTCTGATTTTCCTTTTGGTTTTCTCTTTCCTTGTTGTTGTAGAATTTTCAGTCAGTGGACTACCTGTAGCTCTGGGCAATGTCCATTTTATATTTTAGTTGTATTCCATTGAAATTGTGTGCGGCTGCGGTTAGGTGTTTACCTGAGCAGCCATCTTGGATCCTCCTCAATAAATATGTTTTTCTTAAATCTTTTCTTTTCTTTTTTTTAAAAAAAATGTTTTATTGATTTTTTACAGAGAGGAAGGGAGAGATATAGAGAGCTAGAAACATCGATGAGAGAGAATTATTGATCAGCTGCCTCTTGCACACCCCCTACCGGGGATGTGCCCGCAACCAAGGTACATGCCCTTGACCGGAATCAAACCCGGGACCCTTCAGTCATCAGACCGACGCTTTACCCACTGAGCCAAACCGATTTCGGCTTAAATCTTTTCTTAATAAAGTTTTTGAAAATAGACAAATGTAGATAGAATTCTATAATGAATTTCCTTGCAGCCATCACTCAGCTTCCACAGTTATCAACTCATGACCAGTCCTAATTTATAACCACACCCTACAATTCCTTGTATTATTTGAAACAAGTCCAACACATTCCAGAATGATTCCTTATTTTGTTTTCTGCCCTGTCACATCCCACCCCTGAGGGGCAATGAGCATACAATGGACCAACTATTTGAAAGAGGTGGGGGTGAATTACTAGAAAAAAGAAAGGAAATATTATGAAAACATTAAGGCTGTTTCCATTTTCTTTGTTACCATTGGAGTTTAAGACTCATCTATCTCTGACAGCTCCCTCATAATTATTCATCTTGCTTCTTCATACCTTCTGGATTACTGGAGCTTCTTTAAATAACCACCTGCATCAGAATCATTTGGAAAACTTGTTAAAAGGCAGATCAGCCGAAACTGGTCTGGCTCAGTGGATAGAGTGTCAGACTGCGGACTGAAAGGTCCCGGGTTCGATTCCGGTCAAGGGCATGTACCTTGGTTATGGGCACATCCCCAGTGGGGAGTGTGCAAGAGGTAGTTATCGATGTTTCTCTCTCATTGATGTTTCTCACTCTCTATACCTTTCTCTTCCTCTCTGTAAAAAATCAATAAAATATATTTTTAAAATAAATAAATAAATAAAATGCAGATCACTGGGCCTCTCTCCAGCCCCATGAATCAGACCCTCTAGTGTGGGTTCCAGTTGATTTTTTTTACAAGCAGCTCATACAATTCTGAAACAGTGATATTAAGAACTGCTGTTCCAGTTGAGCCTCCATACTGTTCCCCCATTCTCTCTCTCTCTCTCTTTCTCGCACGCACGCACACATACACACACACACACACGCACACGCACACGCACACGCACATGCACACACTGAGGACAACCCAGAAGGCTCCCGCCTACAGGAAAGTTTCAAGTTATCACGCCTGGTATTTTAGGATCTGTAGCAGCCTCTTTCCTTGCCTCTCTCTTCCTGAACCCTGGGTTCCAGCCCCATCTTACAACTTTGATATGCTCAAACACTTTTTGTATTCTCTCCCTCACCCTCCTAGATCTGATAACCTTGTACTAATCATTTGGGGGCCATCTAAAGGTCTTTTATTGGAAGCCATGTGTAACTCACTCCTCTGTTCATAGTAGTTGAAAAGCTTGGTAATCAGCTGAAAGTGGTTTGGCTCAGTGGGTAGAGCGTTGACCTGCAGACTGAAAGGTCCGGTCCCAGGTTCGATTCTGGTCAAGGGCATGTACCTTGGTTGTGGGCACATCCCCAGTGGGGGGTGTGCAGGAGGCAGCTGATTGATGATTTTCTCAATGATGTTTCTAACTCTATCCCTCTCTCTTCCTTTCTGTAAAAAATCAATAAAATATATATTTTTTAAAAATACCTGAAACGAATATTATAAAATGTTATCATTTATTAATTCTTTAATCATTGGTTGCATCATCACTAATAATGTGTAGTTATGACAGCACTAAGAAAAATCAACCAGCAGTTTATAGACGAAAACAAGTGACCAGTAAAAAATGTTCAGTATCTGAATAAAAATTAAAAGGATAGTAAAATACATATTTTCATCCAATTAATTTGCAAAGTTTAAAAAGGTTGAACTGGGTAGCTCAGTTGGTGAGAGTGTCAGCTGGATTATACTAAGTTTGTGGGTTTGATTCTGGCCAGGTCACATACAAGAATCAACCAAAAACCCTGACCTAGCCAATTTGGCTCAGTGGATAGAGTGAAGCCATGTGTAACTCATTCCTCTGTTCATGGTAGTTGAAAAGCTTGGTAATCAGCTGAAAGTGGTTTGGCTCAGTGGGTAGAGCGCTGACCTGCAGACTGAAAGGTCCCAGGTTCAATTCCAGTCAAGGGCATGTATCTTGGTTGCAGGCTCCTCCCTGGCCCAGGCCCTGATCGGGGCCATGTAGGAGGCAACCAATTGATGTGTTTCTCTCACATCAATGTTTTTCTGTCTTTCCCTCTCTCTTCTACTCTCCCTAAAAAATCAATGGAAAAATATCCTTGAGGATTAAAAAAACAACAACAACCAATGAATGCATAAATAAGTGGAACAACAAATTTGATGTTTCCAGAATCAATAAATAAAACAAAAACAAAAAAGGGTTGAGAACATTTGACTAAGATGCAGTAAAGTAAGCACTCTGACATATTTGCTTGGTAAATTGGTACCAAGTTTTTGAGATCTGATCAATAAAACTATACCCAACTTAATGCTTTTTTAAGTGTATTACATATATATAAACTTAATACTTTTAAATATACATATATATTAATTTTAGAGAGAGTTGAAGGGAGAGAAAGAGAAACATTAATTTAGTGTTCCACTTTTTCTGCATTCATTGATTTAGTCATGTTTGAGTCCTGATCTGGGATGGAACCTGCAACCATGGTGTATGGACAACTGAGCTACCTGGCCATAGACAGTAAACAGTGATGTTTACTGCAGCATTATTTGTGAGAGCAAATAATTAAGAGGAAAGAAACCTTAATCACTTTCATTAGAGAAATGCTTAAAAAAATTAAGTACAATCATTTTATGAAATACTATTTCTAAGAAGAATGAGATATACTCAATGATGGGGAAATGTGAACACATTCCCACTAAACCTCCCTCCCTAGGGCCAAAGTAAACAAAAAGAATCTCAAATAGAGGGGAGGAAAACCTCCAGCTTCTATGCAACTTTGAGATAAGCTGCCAAAACACACTGAAATTTGGGTAAAATTCAAGAAGGTCACGAAGGGAAGGTTCCAGACCCTCGCTGATCTCACATTTAGTGCAGAGCTCTTCAAAACTGAGCTGTTCTGTCCCAAGAAGCCCTAATGTCCTTTATCCTGCCAGCCATTGGGGTACAGAATACTTTGGGTCCAGAGAAGAGCCAAGATTCAGCATCAAAGGCCTCGTGGTAGGATTCTTGAAACTATACAGAACGGATTTGAATGACAGAGGTTTCAGAGGCAAAAAAAATGGTAAAGGAGACGGTGATTTTTATTTCCTATTTTGAAAAACATCTGAAGATAAATCTGAGCATTGCTTGTCATTTTTTTCAAAGCTGAATTTTTAAATACAGAAGCAAACCCATGATGGCAGATGCTATGCCAGGAAAATCAGAGATCCTAGGTCGAACCTTGTGTCTGCTCATAATTCCCTCCGCAACCTCAAACTGTGTTAGTTTCATCATCTGTAAAAAGTAATAATCACCAGTCGCCAGGCCGCGACAAGGGCCGGACAGAGAGAACTTTCCATTTTGTTACTTCAATTCCAATTCGGTTCCAGGTAGAAACTGCGCCCCAATCACGTACTGCCGCGCCACAGCCGCGAGGCATCTCGGGATTTATAGTCCTGTTTCCCCACCCGCCCCCGGGGAACTCGCTGTCCCGACAGGCCACGCGGCGACGGCAAGGGTACGTGGCGCGGCCAATTGCGGCTGCGCGATCAGGTGGGGCAAGATGGCTGCGGAGTTGGGTGTGCGGGTCGTGAGGCCCTGGCTGGGAGCGGGGCTGGGTTGGGTTGTTCGGGCCCTTCTGTTGCTACTATGGTTTGCGGCCCGCGGAGGCGCGCTCTACTTTCACATCGGGGAGACCGAGAAGAAGTGCTTTATTGAGGAGATTCCGGACGAGACCATGGTTATAGGTGCGGGGGGAAGGGGACAGTTGGGAACAAGAATGTGGTCGCAGGGTGCGGGGTGTGGGAGGGTCAGTAACGCCCCAGAGCCGGGAGCAGCCGGCCTCGCCGTGCTCTACCTGCCGCGGACCTGGTGTCACCTCTGACTTGGGCTCACCCGGCTTCCCTCCAGGAAACTACCGGACGCAGCTGTATGACAAGCAGCGGGAGGAGTACCAGCCAGCCACCCCCGGACTGGGCATGTTCGTGGAGGTGAAGGACCCCGAAGACAAGGTGGGTCGGCCCCGTCGCCCCGCTGAGCCCTCCGCTCTGCACTTCAGCGCTAGACCCGGTAGGCGCTGATACTTCCCCTCCTGGTTCCCACATCTGCTAAATTGGTAAAAAACAGTTATGTGGGAAAATCCCGGATTTTCGCTCCAGACTTAACTTAGACTGTTGGAATATTGGCTTTCCTCTCAGCCTCTTTCTGACTGTTGCATGATTCCGCCAAGTCAGTTACTTTCCCTAAGCCATTTACTGGTCTGTGTTATGGAAATTCATCTGTCTTATAAGTGTGATAAGAGGATTAATTGTGGTTGCTGAGAAACAATTTTGCCAATTCTAAAGCTGTGACATTTACACTTTAGGATTTCATAGAACAGTGTACTACTTTACAAAAAGAATGAGCAGCTTTAAATTTTGACAAATAAAGATTAAAACCAAAAATCCCTCAAACCCTTTAGCTGTCACCTAAAAAATGAATTACACCAAAATCATTGAAAGGCCATGAACTATGAATAAAAGAAAACTCTTCCCAATAGCAGTCACATTCCAACCTATGCCTGATTTTTTTTTTTTTTTTTTTTTTTTAACCTCTACTCCAAATAGTTTTCAGACAAGCTTTTGACAACTGCTTCTGAGCAGCTTTGGACCTTTTCCTGTTGTGTGATGTCTGCAGCTCTGCTTGCCGATTTTTGAGGCACTTAAAGCCTTAAGCACCATCCAGTTCCATGCAGTAACTCACTAAAGCCCTTTCTCTCCAGGTCATCCTGGCCCGGCAGTATGGCTCTGAAGGCAGGTTCACTTTCACATCCCATACCCCTGGCGAGCATCAGATCTGTCTTCACTCCAATTCCACCAAGTTCTCCCTTTTTGCTGGAGGCATGTTGGTAAGTGGATTCGAATGGGACTTGTACTTTTAGCTTTTAGCAACCCTGTTCAGGACTGGGGACTGGTGATACATGTGTATGAGATGAGTATGTGGAGCTCTTTGCATATATCTTGGACAGAGCATCAGCCCAGGCTTACTCTTCTGTGTGTATAGAGCTCCATAGAGCTTGGCACTGAGGAGGCTTCATCAGTGTTGGCTTAATGAACAATTTAAGGAAGATGGGTGGACTGTCAGTCCTTGCCGTGAAGAGGGAGCACAGCTACCTGATTGTCTTTATCTTCCTTGTCTGTCCACAGAGAGTTCATCTGGACATTCAGGTGGGTGAACACGCCAATGATTATGCAGAAATTGCCGCCAAAGACAAGTTGAGTGAGTTACAACTACGAGTACGACAGCTGGTGGAGCAAGTAGAGCAGATCCAGAAAGAACAGAACTATCAGCGGGTGAGTGGCTAGGCTGGGATCAGTGGGCTTCTTCTCAGAAGCTACCTACTGGCTCAGCCAGGAGTCACATATCAGATTTATTATGAAATATACCAGGTTGTCTATTTTGCAAGTCTAAAAGGTGGGATGGCTATTATTAACTCTGTTTTGTATTTGAGGAGACAGTCTCTTAAGGTTGTTCTTGCCCTAGATCATACAGTTACACAAAGTGACAGCAGGAAATTGATACCAAAATTTGGGTGCTATTTCCATGGCTCTAGGTCAGTGGTCGGCAAACTCAACAGAGCCAAATATCAACAGAACAATTATTGAAATTTCTTTTGAAAGCCAAATTTTTTAAACTTACACTTCTTCAAAATAGACTCGCCCAGGCCTTGGTATTTTGTGGAAGAGCCACACTCAAGGGGCCAAAAAGCCACATGTGGCTCAAGAGCCACAGTTTGCCGACCATGGCTCTAGGTGATCCCAGGGGTTTTAAACTCACCAGTGTCCAGGAGTAAGCAGGTTCCATTAATGAATCTATGACCATAAAGATTGGTAGGATAGTAAACTGCCTAACTAGGGACTGTTGGCAAGCCAAGGAATGCTAGCTGGCTCTGCGTTTTAAGAGGAGCTAGAGGTCCAGGTTTTTTGTGTGAAAAATTCATTGGTTTTAAATGTTAGCAAAATACCGTGTGAGCCAAACAACACACATGTATGGGCCAGGTGTGGCCCCTGGACTACCAATTTGCACCCTGTGCCCACAATCTTCAAGGAGCAGTTTGGGAGACCTGAGCGGAGGACTCAGAGCAAGCCCATTCCTGGGCACTTCAGGACAGCTCTGTCTGATGGTGATATCACAACTACTTTACCTCTCCTCTAAGCTCCAGGGTAGGACCTGGGAGTCTAACTGACAGAGCAAACAGACGTAAGTTACCTGAGGTCATCTGGCTAGTGAGGGTGAAGAGAGTCCCCACGTGGCGTTTCTCTTTGCAGCATTTGACTGCAGAACTAGTTGGCCCTGGACCATCTTCCAGGGAGGGAACCCAGCAGTTCTAACAGACCCAGGTGGGGCCCAGCCAATTCAGGCTCTTCTTCCATTCTCCCCTCCCACAGTGGCGAGAGGAGCGCTTCCGGCAGACCAGCGAGAGCACCAACCAGCGGGTGCTGTGGTGGTCCATTCTGCAGACCCTCATCCTCGTAGCCATCGGTGTCTGGCAGATGCGACACCTCAAGAGCTTCTTTGAAGCCAAGAAGCTGGTGTAGACATCCTCCCAGGCTGGGGAGAAGAGGCCTCCTGGAACTGATTTCTCTCTGGCAGGAGGACTGATTCCCAGCCATGGATGTTCTGGAGGGAAGAGAGGTCACAGGCACCCCAGGCACAAGCTAAGGGGAGCAGCTCACTTGGAGCATACTGAGCAGGTGGTGGGGCAAGTGCCTGCCCCCTCTCCTGAGCTCGGGCCTTTGCAGTAATCTCCTAGGGTCTATTGAAGCCACTGGGAGTCCCACTGGCACCTCAGAATCACAATGTTACTGATCAGGGATGTGAGGCTGTTATCTGGGGTGGCTGCAGGGAGGGGAGTGGGTGGGCAAGCCAGTTTTCTTTTTGTCTTCCTTGCTAACTTGGGATTTTAGGCAGGTTGTAATACAGCTGTGATTCTCTGCCACCCTGAGAATCTCCTTGGGCCCAACTCAGCCTGCTGATCCAGGGTGTGTGTTTCAATTGAGGGTGGGATGGAGGGGGTTGCAAAGTGGGAAAGTGATCCTGAGGTTGACTCCAGGTTTTTTACGTAGATGTCCTTTTTGGGGCTCGAGGAACTGAGATCAGGGCAAGCAGAGGTCTTGGTGCTGGCTGGGGATGGGGCCTGCAGAGTCTTAGTTACTGATTTCATTTTCAATAAGCCTAGGTTTGTTACATTGGTTTCCCAATAAAACATTTTAAAAAAAGACTTCTTGTACAATGTAAAGTTACTATCAGTGGGCATAACACTTCAGGGAATGTCAGTTCTTCCAGTGGGCAAAGCACTTCACATTCCAAGTTGAGGACCCACCTTTGAACATCAATCTTTGTTTTTTAAATATATATTTATATTTATTTCAAAGAGGGAGAGAGAGATAGAAACATCAATGATGAGAGAAACATCATGGATTGGCTGCCTCCTGCATGTCCCCTACTAGGGATTGAGCTGGCAACCTGGACATGTGCCCTGACTGGGAATTGAACCGTGACTTCCTGGTTCATGGGTCATTGCTCATCCACTGAGCCACATGGTGCTGAACTTCATTCTTTTTATCCTCTCCATACCTTCCCATAGCAGAGAGTAGTGGTTTTGCCCAAGAACATCCAACAAATAAATTGGTTTCGGGTTCAAATCCACACCACTTCTCTGTGCCAGCTCTCTCATGAAGTGCCTGCCATCCCTGCCTTTCCAGAGTAGGTGGACTCAGGATAGACTTTCATGGTGCTGTAAAGAAATGCCTAGTTAGAATGAAGGGTTTTTGTTTTTAAAAATATATATTTTATTGATTTTTTTTTTTTTTTTCAGAGAGGAAGGGAGAGGAATAGAGAGTTTGAAACATTGATGAGAGAGAAACATTGATCAGTTGCCTCCTGCACACCTCTTACTGGGGATGTGCCCACAACCAAGGTACATGCCTTTGACCAAAATTGAACCTGGGACCCTTCAGTCTGAAGGCCAATGCTCTATCCACTGAGCCAAACCTATTAGGGCTAGAATACAGTTTTGTTTTGTTTTTAAAAAATAGGAATGCTGCAGGTGTGGGAAGAACAGAAATCCTTGAGTAGGCAGGGATAAGGATATTGATGGGCTTAACCAGTAGCATGGAATCAACTGCCTCTTGCATGCTCCCTACTGAGGTTTGAGCCTGTAACCCAACCAGGAAGTTTCCCCTATTATTAACATCATATATTAGTATGATACATTTGTTAGAAATTAATGAATGGAGCCAGGCGGGTGGCTCAGTTGTTTGAGCGTTGTCCCATGAACCAGGAAGTTTGATTCCCGGGTCAGAGCACATGCCAAGGTTGCAGGCTCCATCCCCAGTAGGGGGCATGCAGGAGGTAGTAGCTGATATTATAGATGCCTCTCTCTCATCAATGTTTATATCTCCTCTCTGAAATCAATAAATACAATTTTATTAAAAATTAGTGAATTTAGTAATACATTATTTTTAACTAAAGTCCATACTTAATGCAGATTTCTTGAGTTGTGACCTATGTCCTTATTTTGATTCCCTCTATGAAAGTCTGAGAAACTCACTGCCAAGAGAAGCCCAAAGAGACAACTAAATCTAAATCTATTGTGCCCATCTCTGTACCAAGTTTATTTTTTCCTTTAGTCCTCACAGCAATCATGTAGATCAGGCACTTAGGAGAGGGAACAGAGTTTGTTTTGCCCCCAAACATAGCTGAATTGGGGGAGTCAAGTTTGGAATCCAGTCCATCTGTCTGTAGTGCCTGGCTCTAACTCCATGGGGCATCTCTTGAACGCAAGACTAAGCCCTGAGCCTGGCTTTGCAGTCCTCCAAGCTTGTTGCAGAGGAAGAAGGCACCTGAGTTGACAGCCAGGAGGCCCAGAAGCCCGTTGCCTTCCCTTGGGAGGAGGAGGAAGTTGCACATTACCTCCGGGCGCTGGTTTGAGAGTCTGGAGTTTTCAGTCCAGCCCCAGCCCAGTGACTTGTGCCCCCTCTGGGACCTCAGTTTCTTGGGATGTGAAGAAGCGGGGGCAGTCAGACGCCAAGTGGTAGCCGTGCTCGCGTTTTTCCACAGGCGGAACCTTAAACGCCACAGCTCCGGGGAGCAGCCGGCGCGGCCGGCGCGGAGGACCCGCAGGACCGAGGGGCAGGGCGACCGGTTGGGGCGGGGCGGGAGGCGGAGGTGCCGCGTAGGCCGAGGAGGCCGGGCTGCCCGGCCGGGAGCTTGAGCCCCATGCGCGGCCGCCAACCCCCGCGATGCTCCCCTCCCGGAGGAAGGCGGCGCAGCTGCCCTGGGAGGACGGCAGGTGAGCGGCGGCGGCCCCGGGCCAGTCCTCCGGCGGCCGATCTTCACCCGCCGCGGGGCGGAGTCTGGGAGCCCGAGGCCGCCGCGCCTCCTCTCTGCGGGGCTCCCTGAGGGTCTGCGGTTCTTCCTGTGGGTCACCGGGTCTCTGTCGTTGGGTGTCTGTCTCTGGGTCCGCCAGTCTATGTCACTGCAGGGCTCCATCACCCCTGGGTCTGCATTTCTCCGTTAACACTTCCCTTTGTGAGTTTCTGTTTCTCTCTTTGCAAGTCGTTTTAGGAGTTTCTCCTCTGGCCTCTATATCTTAGTGCTGGCCAGGGACTCCGTTGACCTCTCTGAATGGACCTCTGTCTCTCTGTGCCTGGTCTAGGAGTCTGTGTTCCATTTCTCTGGTTTCCACCTCCCCATCACATCCATGTAGCCTCAGACCCTCCCTCCTTCCCGCTTCCCCTTCCCTGCCGGCCACCCAGAGAGCACACCGAACAGAGGCTCTGTCCCTCCGCCCCGCGGGCCGCTGCCTGGCACGCAGTCGGCACTCCGCACTTGACACCGGTTCACCTCCCCGTGTGTTAGGTATGGCCTTGGCCCAGAGCTTAGCTAATGTTTACCACGAAAACAGAACTGGGGAGATGGAGCTTTTTAGTTGTCTACATTTGGGAGGACACTTCAGTCTTGAGATGTGCCTCCAAAACTCTTCTCACCTAGAACCCATAGCGAGTCTTCACCCAGTGAGTGACACCTCGTTCCCTTTAGATCTCCTAACTTTGCCATGTACCAAATGGTTCTGGAATATAGTGGGCACAATTCTGTATCTCTGGAGATTTTTCAGAGTTGGTGTTGAAGTGAGAAGACAGGAATGTAATAGAAAGAAAGCACGAACTGTGGAGTCAGCCCTGGACAGAAATCCTCTTTAATCGTCATGTGGCCAGAAACATATTACTTAATCTTTCTGACTTTAGCTTTTCCATCCCTGAATCCAGGAAGAGAGCTATATGAGGACTAAAGGAGACAAACAGAAAGTCCTTGATACTGTGGCTGGCACAGGGAGCTACCTTCCACTTATGCTTGTCATTTGGAGGTGGTGTCATCAGAGCATTTGAGTATTCAAATCTTGTATCTCTTTGATTTGTGTGAGAGAAGAAAGGAAAGGTAGTGGAGGAAAATTTGCATTTCCTGATCCCTTTCCATTAAACCTTTGGGAAAAACTGTGTTCTCAGAAAAAGTTACTGATGTCTCTTCTCGCTTTTGACACAGGGGTACTAAGATCCATGCAACAGATGCAGGCTAATGTAGCAATAAAGAGTGCTGGCTGCGGAGCTAGCCTGCCTCGATTTGAATCTTATCTTTCCTAGTCTTGGGCACAGATTGAAGAGGGAGAAAAAAACCTCATCTGGTCTGCCCCTCAGAGCAGGATGGCCTGGGCCTTGGGAGCCGAGGGGACCGCAAGTCTGGAGTTTGCCATCAGGGCAACTTCTCAGTGTCCCAAGGAATTGGGATTCAGCTCTGAATTAAGTTGTTCAGCAGTTTAGACTTTTAACAGCTCTGGATGAGGGTGCCAATGGGGATGTGATTCTGGTAGGAAGGGAAAGTTAGACCCAGGAAACAGCATGTGAAAGTGCGTGAAATGCCCAACTCGTGCCATTCTCTGGATAATGGTCATTGCTTCTTCCCCTGAAGGTGGGATAGTTCCCCATGTCCACGTCCCCGGTCTCCACCCCACCCCCAGAAAGAGCTCAGAGGGAGAATCAGTAGAGACTCCAGCCTTCCCAGGCCTCTGGCAGGATTGGGTTCTGCTCCCCATCGGAAACCCCCACCACAGGACAATGGGGGGTAAGTCAGAAGCCCCCTGTGAAGGTGTCCTACCCAGCCATCTCTCTGCTGTGTGTGGGACCTGGACCTGGCTTCAGGACTGCTGGCTTTCTGGTTGGCAATTGTGCCATTATAGAGGCAGGAGCTGGTGTGGCTCTAACTGTGTAACTTAAAGCATGCCCTGGCTGCTTGAACCCTTCTTGTAACTCACTTAGCATGCCCTCTGCTGTGTGTCTGGTGCTGCAGCCACAGACAGGAGCCTGGTTATGTATGGGGAAGCCAAGCAGGGACTGGGGAAATTACAGACCTCTAAGTACTCCAGAGAGTGAAGTACCAGATGCCATGGAAACACAGAAGGTGCATGTACCTCAGTTTGTATACGTGAGAAGATGGGCAGTGCTGGCCATGACATTGGAGTTTGGGCCTGAAGGATCAGTGAGGGGCTTTCAGACAGAATAGGAAGGGCATTTCAGACAGAAGCAGCAGGCTGTGTGAGGCTGGAGCAGGAAGGAATATTTTGAGCAGAGAAGCTCAGAGTTGGCCAAATGACAGCACTGGATGAGTGGTCAGGTTACAGAGGGGTTTGACTGTCAGGCCAAGGGATTGGGTCTTTTTCTTGTAAACAGAAGGGGATCATCCATGAGCTTGAAGCGGTCTGAGCTGGACCAGGACCAATGAGACCTGAGCACAAAAGAGGCAGTATGTGAGGAAGAGTCAAGAGACACTTAGGCCGAAACCGGTTTGGCTCAGTGGTAGAGCGTCGGTCTGCAGACTGAAAGGTCCCTGGTTCGATTCCGGTCAAGGGCATGTACCTTGGTTGTGGGCACATACCTGGTAGGGGGTGTGTAAGAGGCAACTGGTCGATGTTTCTCTCTCATCGACGTTTCTAGCTATCTCTCTCCCTTTGTCTCTGTAAAAAATCAATAAAATATATATTTTTTTTTTTTAAAAAAAGAGAGAGAGACACTGAGGAAGTAGAATCTATAAGCCTGGTAGCTGCATGGTGACTCAGAGAGGTTGCTTTGCTGATTATTTCATGGGACACTCTGCAGAGGAAACCTCTTTTCTTGGCTTCCTCAGCTCCTCCTTCACTACTCTCAGGAACTTCCAGAGAGAAGGCAAAAGAATCAGGTGAATTCACTTGTTTTTTTGTATTTTCTAACCTAAAGGCCAATCTCTCAACACTACCGCAGCGTTTAAGATACCAGCTGTCTTCCCAGTTTCTGAAATGAGCCGGAGTGCTAGCCACAGCCCCAGTCTTTCTTTCCCGAGTCCATCTCTCAGCTCTTGTCGCATGGGCTACCTGTGAACTGAAGCTTTTGAGACTTGTTCAGGAACTGCACTGCCAATTTTTGTCTTGCATTGATTTGCGGGCAGGCCTGATCTTCCGAAAATAAACATTGGGGTTTTTGACTGGGGATTGATGCCAGCACAGACCCAGATCTTGGGGAGCTTTCTGGTGTGAGAAGCAGGATGAAGCCGACATTTCAGCAGGTGTGAACATGCAGGGTGTGGGCGGCATTGGGTGAGGTCTCTAAGTCCAGGCTCCTGCCATCAGCTCAGGATGGGAACCACTGTCCTGTGGTGGGGCAAGTGCCAGATACAAAGAGCCTCATCCCAGCCTTCGTGGTCTGGCCAGGGCTCATTCACAGAAGATAAGAAAGCATCAAGGAATGGGCAGCTCTTTGACCCAGGAGTGGTCAGAGGCTTTCTGGCTGCGGGGGCATGGGCTGTATTCTGACACATGGTAGCAGTATGAGAAAAAGCATTAAAGTTGCTTCTGTACTAATTCCCAGGTGCTTAGGCAGACCAGCCCTGCTTGTAGGGAAGCCAGAGAAGGGGTCTGTGACGGTCCCAGACCAGACCTGCCCTTCTGACCATCCCTGCTCTTGTCCCAGGTCCAGGCTGCTTCCCAGCAGCCTTCCCCGGAAATGCTCCGTCTTCCACCTCTTCGTTGCCTGTCTCTTACTGGGCTTCCTCTCCCTGCTCTGGCTGCAGCTCAGCTGCTCCAGTGACATGGCCTGGGCAGCCAGGAAACAAGGGCAGGAGACCCCAGGTCCACCCCGGGCCTGTCCCCCAGAGCCGCCCCCTGAGCACTGGGAAGAAGATCCGTCATGGGGCCCCCACCGCCTGGCAGTGCTGGTGCCCTTCCGGGAACGCTTTGAGGAGCTCCTGGTCTTTGTGCCCCACATGCATCGCTTCCTGATCAGGAAGAAGATCCCACACCACATCTACGTGCTCAACCAGGTGGATCATTTCAGGTAGGGACTGCTAGCCCCTGCTCCCCCTCTCCAGGGGCGTCACCATGTCCAGGCCTCTCGGGCCTGCTCCCTTTCCCAGCAGCAGCCCAATGCTGGTGGGCCTCAGACCTGCGAAGGGCCACCTAGGTCAGTGGCAGGAGGGAAGGAGGTGGGAAAGAAATCTTTGGGGAAAGTTTGGGGCTTGAGAGGGCCCTGATCTGATTTCCATTTTAAAATAGGGGTGCTGTGTGTGAAGTAGATTGTACCAGGACAAGAGGAGGAGCAGGAAGAGCTGTGGGTGGTCACTGCAGTTGTCTGAGATGGTGAAGACTTGGCCAGCATGTGGAAGGGATGGAGGAAGCACAGGCAGGGCTTGCCAGGGGATTGGTGGTGAGGATTAGGCCAAGAGTGTCAATACAATGACTTTAAAGTTGTTCACAGTCTGGCATTATCCTGAAATCTTTGCACATACAATCTTTTCTCCATAATCATAATTGAAGCATCTCGCATTTCACCTCCACCTTTCCCTTCAATTCCTTCCCTCTGGAAATTCGCAACAGTTCCTAGACCCAACTGGGCCCTGTAGTCCGGATACTCCCAATTTTCTTTCTTTTTTAAATTTCTTGGGGTGACATTAGTCTACATGAACATATTGGTTACATGTGTGGATTATAAATTTACAAAATCTGTATATAGGACCATGTGCCCACCACCCCAAATTTTTTCTTTCTTTTTATTTTGAGAGTACCTTTATTAAAGCGGGGACAGTGAAACAAAGGAAGGGCTTAGGGTAGAGGAAACAACAGAAGAGAGAGAGTGAGTGCCAACAAGTACTCTGCTTTGGCTCTCTAGAACCGGTATAAGAAAGAAGTGGGCCACGCTGGGCTGAATTCACTGAGAAGTAAAGTCACAGTGAAAGTCCTGGCCAGTTTTTCTCAGTGGTTAGAGTGTCAGCCTATAGATCAAAGGGTCTTGGGATTAATTCAAGGTCAGGGACACATACCATAATTGCAGGTTCAATCCCTGGCTCCAGTCAGGGCACAGTTAGGAGGCAACCAATCAATGTATATCTCTCTCTCTCTCTCTCTTCCCTTCCACTCTCTCTAGGAATCAATGGGGGAAAAATATCCTCTGGTGAGGATTAACAACGAAAAAAGTCACAGTGAAAGAAGAGAGCCAAGGCAGGGCTGGTTTTAGCTCACTGAAAAGTCTAGGACAGGAGAAGCAACAGGAGGTAGCCTTGGTGGTGGTCTGATTGGCTCTCTAGAAACGTGAAAAGAAAGAAGTGAACCAAGACATGGTTGGTTATTTCACCGAAAAGTCAGAGAAAAGGGGGCCTTGAAGACAGGTTCAGGGTGTAAGCCAGGGATGAGCTGCCACTGCCATTGCTTCTCTGGTTGGAATCCTTAGAGTGTAGGAGAGGAAAGTAAAGATGTACACCTCAGAGGGAAGAAAGGTGAGTGTGCTCCGGAGAGAGCCTGCCGATGCTCCCAATTGTCATCCTCTACGCCCCACTCACTCACTACTGGCTCAGAGCCCCCTTCCCCTGATTTCCTTAGGACTCTCCTTGTCCTCACTTTCTCCTGCCTAACTTGGATTCCATGGCTCATTGTTAAAATCACTCCCCTGCACATATCTCAGTCCCCTTGCCCCTTTCTGTCTGGCACAACTTCTGCCTGATGAAACCTGACTGTTTAATTCACACCTGCTCCTGGACAGCTGATGTGACTGGAGACAATGAGCCCTGGCCCAGGAGGCTTCTGCGCCCTGCCTGAAAGCCTTGAATTCCTCTAGTCTGCTGTCTTTCCTCTCTCCTCACCCATCCTCCCCACAACTTTGCTTTCTATTTGAGAAAACAGAACTAATTGGAAGAAAACTTGTGCAAGTCCCCAACCCCTGGCCCTGTGGACCAGCTTCTGTGCACGGTTGCTTTTGATGCCTTGTCCCGCTCTGCTGGGGGAGCCTTCCACTGGCACTGGCTCCCTTTCTCGTCTCTTACTCAAGGACATCACCCCAGTTGTGGGCCCTTTTCTGTCCTACATGACCAAGTTTTTCTTCCTTTCTGGATCATTTGCATCAGCATACATCGCCCACAGCTATCACCTCTTTTCTCTGCTCCCCTTTATAGCAAAACTCCTCCCATTTCTCCCCTCATTGCTAAAACAGCTCTCACTGACATCAGCAATGAACCTTATTAATCATCTTCATTCTGTAGACATCTCAGCAGCATTTCCCAAATGGATTACTTCTTTCTTCCTCAAACAACTGTCTGACTTCCGGGGCAGCCCTCTCTGAATCTCCTCCTTTCTCACTGGCTGCCCTCCCCACCTTTCCAGGTTCTGCCTCATCTCCCCGGTCTCTCAGTCTCAGTGCTCTTGAGTGTCTCCTTGCTGGCTACAGTCACCCCCTGGGGGATCTCATCCCGGCTCAGAAAATTAGGTCCCATCTCTACTCTGGTGACTCCCGAGGCTATATTCCCAGCCTAGACTTCTCTCCTGAACTCCAGACCTGCACATCCATCTGCTTGCACAGCTCTCCATTTACTGGGCTCAGAAGCACCTCAAGCTTTCTTGATCAAAGCTGAATTGCCCAGATCAGCTTCCCCTGTCTCTTCCCCAACTGGGAAATGACAATTCTTTGCTGCCAGTTATGCAGCCCAAAAGCCTTGTAATCATTCTCTACTTTTTTTTTCTGCCTCACACGAGACATCCAGTTCATCAGCAGAATCCAACTAGAACCTGCCCACTTCTCACCGTCTTCACTGCATCTCCCTGAGCTAAATCACTGTCATCTCTTGCCTAAATTATTGTAATGGCCTCTCAACTCACCTCTATGCTTCTACTTCTGAGCCCTCCAGTGGCTCCCCATCTCATCACGGCCAAAGCCTAAGCCCATCAGGGGCCTGTCACCCCCTGACCTCATCCTCTACTCCCCACTCACTCACTACTGGCCACATTGGTGTCTGCCCTGCCTCAGACCTTGGTAAGCACTCTCTCCGCTGCTCAGAGCCCCCTTCCTCTGATTTCCATAGGGCTCAATCCCTCTGGCCTTCAGGTTTCTACTCACCCTTCACCCTGTTACCCTGACCACCTTTCTAAAAGAACAACCACCTCATGCCTTGACCTCCTGCTTTACTTTTTCCCACACTTAACACTATATGACTTCTTAAGTATTTATTTGTTTATTTTTTTATCTCCTGTTATTAGAATATCAACTCCTTGAGAGCAGGGCTTTGATTTTCACTGTTATATCCTATGCTCTCAACAGTTTCTGGCATATAGCAGGTGCTCAGTGAACATTTGGGCGATGAATGGAGGAGCAGATGTGACGCTGGATAGCTCCACAGTGAAATCAGTGTCGGCCTGGAGGGCAGCGTAGGCCCCAGGGTGGGTGGTGTCGAGGACGGGCTCTCCTGCAGAGTCTGGGGAGAGCCAGCTCGCTGCCTGTACCCTGCCCAGCCTTGGCCGTCCTGTACAGGTTCAACCGGGCGGCACTCATCAATGTGGGCTTCCTGGAGAGCAGCAACAGCACAGACTACATCGCCATGCACGACGTGGACCTGCTCCCTCTCAACGAGCAGCTGGACTATGGCTTCCCTGAGGCGGGGCCCTTCCATGTGGCCTCCCCGGAGCTCCACCCCATCTACCACTACAAGACCTATGTCGGCGGCATCCTGCTGCTCTCCAAGCAGCACTACCAGCTGGTGAGGCCCCGCCAGCCTTTCTGCTGAGCCAGGGAGCGCCCACCTGGGTGGGGGCACTGACAGGGGGAGCAGCAGTTTGGGGGCCCAGGAGCAGCCAGAGACAGAGAGAGGAGCAGGAACAAGCAGGTCGGTTAAGGAGGATTCAGGCGCAGCGCAGAAAGCCCGTGAAAGGTGGCTTCATGAAAGTTGGGTTCATTGGGTCTTAAAATGGATAAGTCTGGCGGGGGCTGAGAGGAGGGTGTTGCTTCCTGTGTGGCTTGCCCAGCTTCAGACAGTGTCACTAGGGCACCATTTCTCTTTCCTCGTTTCTCTCATTTCTGCCCTCTTTAGACAGGATTTCTTTCCAGATACTCAGGGTGAAGGGTGGTGGTTGTAGTTGCAGTCTGTATCTGTCTAGGCCCAAGTCTACTAGAAGAGGGAGCTCCCTCTCCAACAGCCAGACAGGAGTCCCAGAGCCGTACCACACAGGCTCTTGATTGGCCTGACCTGTGTCCTGGGCCCATCCCTGAGTCAGTCACTGTGGGGAAGAGGAGGAAGAACTGAGTAGCTTAGACCCGAGTCTCCTGCTCCTCACAAAACTAAAGCCAGCTTCATGTAAATGAAGTCCCTAATCTGGTAGCAAAAACTGGTATCTGCCAAAGAGCCCAGCTGTTCCTCTCCCACACAGAGGAAGACACCAGGGCTGAGCCCAGAAGAAATGGGAAGGGGCAAGCAGGAATTGGTACTTGTGCCCATTACCAGCAACCCAGAGAGGTGCCCTCCTGCCAGTCAGATATTTGGGGGAAACAAATAATCTCACACAAGTTCCAGGCCCCATTACATGGGCACAGGGTCTGGGATGTGCTGACTGTCCCCGCAATACTGCAGAGGTTGTGGGAACTGCAGCTGAGTGGTAAGAGACTAGAGGGCACACCGGGCGGATGAGGCAAGTGATGCTGTCTGACTCTGTGTTAGTGCAACGGGATGTCCAACCGCTTCTGGGGCTGGGGCCGTGAGGACGATGAATTCTACCGGCGCATCAAGAGAGCTGGGCTCCAGGTAACACCCCACGTCCCCTACCACCACCTCAGCCATCATGGCTGCCCTGAGGCTCCCTTCTCAGCCTCCGCTTGGAGATCCTCAGCTGTTTTGTTTTGTTTTGTTTTGTTTTTAAGGTTTTATATGTGCTCAGGTGGTTCTGATCCTAGTCCTGCCCCCAACTTAGCACACCTCTTCTGCATAATGGGAGGACAGGCCCTGGCCTGTGGCCTGTGGCAGGCAGTGGGACCCAGAGGACTAGTGAGGGCCAGGGCTCCAGGAGGGATGGCCTAACCCAATTTCCTTTGGCCTCAGCTATTCCGCCCCTCGGGAATCACAACTGGATACAAGACATTTCACCACCTGCATGACCCAGCCTGGCGGAAGAGGGACCAGAAGCGCATTGCAGCTCAAAAACAGGTGCTGACTGGTTCCCTGATCAGGCATGGACAGGCAGTGACCTGGGGGAGCCAGCAGGCCCAAGCATTCCATCAAGTTCCACTTGAGTCAAAATGGCTCTTCTCACTCCTTTTTGGCCCAGCTCAGTCGATGGCGTTTTGTTTGGGTACCTTTCCCTGGTTAGTGGCTGCTATGGGTCCTGCGATCTGGGTCAGATGATCCCCATGCAGGCCGGGTGAAGGGGACTCAGCTGAAGATGTCAGAATCCCAGGCGGACCTGCAACCCAAGAGTTTCCATCCCTCAAACAGCTCTTCTCTAGGAGCCACACTAGTAAACTGAAAACCCCTGCTCTGCTTACTGGGGCATCCAGCTGTGGGAGAGCCTTCACAGCTGTGAGCGGCACTCCTGTCTTCATTGGGCTCACAGAACCTCTGATGATGAGGTCCTGGGGCATCCATTTACAGCTGGCTCCTACCAAGCCCTGAATATGTGCTCTCTCCCCTTTTCCTTCCTAGGAACAATTCAAGGTGGACCGGGAGGGAGGTCTGAACACTGTGAAGTACCGCGTGGATGCTCGTACAGCCCTGTCTGTGGGTGGGGCCCCGTGCACTGTTCTCAACATCATGTTGGACTGTGACAAGGCTGCTACCCCCTGGTGCACACTTGGCTGAGTTGGCTGGACAGTAAGGAGGCTTGTACCTGCCAAAACCGGTTTGGCTCAGCGGATAAAGCATCAGTGTGCGGACTGAAAGGTCCCAGGTTCGATTCCGGTCAAGGGCATGTACCTTGGTTGTGAGCACATCCCCAGTAGGGGGTGTGCAAGAGGCAGCTGATCGATGATTCTCATCGATGTTTCTTTCTATCCCTCTCTCTTCCTCGTTGTAAAAAATCAATAAAAAATATATTTAAAAAATACTTAAAAAAAAAAAAAAAAAGGAGGCTTGTACCTACAGGCCACATTGCTACTCAAGCCCTGGACAAAGCCGCAGGCCCTGGGCCCAGCTCCAATAGGACGTGGAGCATTCTGAAGCAGTGGACAGCAGGCTACGTGTTTGCAGCAGCCTGGCCCCCAGAGGGAGCCTGAGCCAGGACAGAACACAGGATGCCTGGGATGCTGCTAGCAATAAACAGTGATGGAGAGAGGCTGGGATGTGGCTCCCAACTGGCACTCTCCGCCCTGCCTCTGCTTGCCCTGCTCTGCCCTCCTTTGCATGCTGGGACCTGCGGGCTTTTGTTCCTTCCCCCTGGACCGCCTCATGCAGAGGTACGGTTTAGAGGCCACGCTGCTGATCTGAGTGGCTAGGGCCATTGGGAGGCTTAAAGTGCAAGATCCAGAGAGCAAGCCCCACAGAAAGGGCATGACTGAGAGCAGCTCCAGCTGGGTGTCACCATGTAGGAAAGTGGGCCTGTGTTGCCAGATCTGATTTTTTTTAAAAAAAAAAAAAGTAGAAGTCTGGATTCTTAAGTAAAATTGGTTAATTATTAAATGATAGCAACTAATTGAAACAAACAAAAAAAAAAGTATGGCAATCCAAACAAAATGTGATGTGAACCACCAGTTTGTCACCTATGGCTGAGGGGAAGGGAATAGGAGAAAAGATGACATCTCTCTTTGCTACAAGCTGGCAAGGAGTTGGGTTAGGGAAGGGATGGCAAGACTAGGGGAAGCTCAGGTGGGAGAGAAGCCAAAGGCACAAGGTTCCTGAACCGCCCACAGCCCTCTAGGCTTTGTTGCCCTCGGGGCAGGGTGACCACCGCCAGGCTCTAGTGAGCTCATACTCTGGGAAGGGGATGCACTGCCTCATTAAGATGGACAGATCCAGAGGACTGGACTCAGGACAGGCAGGATGTGTCGGCAGTGGCTCAGTCATGGCTTGAGGGAATGAGGGCCGTGTTTCTGATACTGGAGGAAGAAGATGAGAAGTGAGAGAATCCCTGGGGTTCCCACAGCACAAGCGATCACACAATGCCAAGGAGAGGTCAAGGAGGGGAGCTCAGGAGACTGGAATTGGGGAGTGATCTTGGAGGGGAGCCTGGGGCCAGTGAGAGAGTGGAAGGCCAGGGGCCCTGCAAAGTAGATCACTTCTTTAAGGTGTCTGGCTGCCAAAGGCTGGTGGCAGAAGTCCGAGGAGATGGGGGACAGTTAAGGCTGGTTTAACAATAAGTAGGACACCTGAGATACTAAAGACTCCTCCCCTGAGCTGCTGTGAGCAGTTGTGTGGGTTGTGCACTGTACAACCTAAGCATAAGTGAAGAGACTTGAGCAAAGATGAGCAGAGTGAAGCTTCTGGCTCCATGCAACTGTTCAGGTGTATAATAGAGGGTCCTTGTGATCCTAAATTGGTCTTACCCAGTGATTTAGCCCACAGAGGGACAAACAGGCTGCAATTACAATACAAGGGTGGTGGGCAGGACTTTCTCATCTTGAGGTCCAGGAGAGGGGAATGGCGTGTTTTCTGTATGTCAGTCTCCCGGGCAACCCTGGCTAAATCATCTTGTACTTAAGTAACATGGAGGCAAAATTCCAGCCTCCTAGAGCTGGTGGGAATGGATGTAATATCATAGCCCTCAGCTCTGTACTCATCTGGCTCAGCAAGACCTCACAAATGTGGGTGTTCCTTTATACCTGCACCAAGGATGTGGAATGAGCAGAAGAGAAGCAGGATCAGCTGACTCAGCCTGGGCCCCACACACCTGAGCCCCACACTCCACATTGGCTGCTGCTGCCATCCCAGGAGAGTGGGAGAGGGCTGAGCAATGGTTTGCAGGGGGAAGAAGCAGGTAGCTCCACTGCTTCCTCAGCGTCTTTGTTGCCTCCTCCCTGTCTCGCTGACCAGGTGTGAATGAAATAAATCCAGGATGAACTAGCACCTGCTGAGCATTTACCGCATACAACATGCTAGGTCCTTATTGGTTAATCAGTTTTGTAGCTGAGGATGGTGAAGCACAGAGAGCTAAGTGGCTTGCCCAAAGGTAAAAGAGTTGGTACCTAGTGGAACATGACCTTAGAGCCAGATTCCTTCACTCCTGGCCTGCACAGCAGGTCCCATGCACAGATTGTTCCTTATCCTTCAGACTGCTCCTCCTCTCCCTAGCTGGAGAGGGCCCATGGGGAGGGCTGGCCATCATGGTTTGATGATCCTTTCACCGCTGGGATGAAACCAGGGTCGTGGGTGAGATACAGAGTGTCTGTCCCATGCTTCCTCTGGGTGAAGATGGGGATTTGGCTGCTGGATAGGTCCCGTGGAGCATCAGTGGGACCAAGAGCATGGCACTGTGCCTGGGAATGTATGAGGTGCTTGGGGAAGGTCTCTTCAGAAGACATGGGCTTGCTTGGGGAGTCAGTTTGCTGTCAGGATGGGAAGAGTTCTGGAGGGGTCAGCATGTGCAAGGTAGAGAGATGAAAAGAGCATGTTATGTTCAGGGACCTGAAAGGAGCTCTAGGTGTCCCTGTTTGCCAGTATAGTGCAGGAGTGCGTGTGTGGGGACAGAGGGAAGGGTGGGATGAGCTATGAGGATCTGTGTATGCCACATTGAACATACACATATACTGTGCTCTCTGGGTTCAGTGTTTTCAAGCACGGGGAAATTTTTGAGCAGGGAGAGACCTTTCTGAACCCACAACTGTAGTGTATTGGGACAACACTCTAATAAACTGAGCTATCCTGCCAGGGCACCACTGTCAGTTTCTTAGTTTTGACCAATGCACTATGGTTAGGTAAGATAATAACCACAGAGAAAGCTGGGTAAAGGCTATATAGGAATTTTCTGTAATATCTTCATAATTTTTCTGTAGATCTCAAGTATTCCCAAAGGAAGACCAATTTTTTTTAAGTTAAGTTATATATGAGCAGCATAACAATTGCTCAGTAAATGATGGAATCTTGGCCTTCCCTTCAGGCTGGCAGTTGAGAATTTCCTCTGCTACTGCCTCTGTCTGAGCTATGCCCCCTCACTCTTAAGTAAGGTTGAGTTGACTCCCCAGGCTGTGATATAAAAGTAATGGAAATGGTAACTATTGGTTGTCTGAGTATTTCCTTCCCATAGGAAGGGATGTAGATGTTTTTCCTTAACGACTACACCCAGTGTCCCCTTGTCCACTCCTTCATAGAGGCCTTCCTGACTACCCATTCTTAAGAGTTCACACACAAACTCACATACATCATCCCTTTTTTTTGCTCTCACAGCTATCGCCATTAACTGAAATCTTATTTATTTTCTCTCCCCTGTTCCTTCATCTCACTACAACACTGGTCCCTGAGCTCAGGACCTGTGAGTCTTGTTCATTGCTTTGTCCTCAGTACCTAGCACAGGGCCTGCTGCCTCACAGGCACTCCGTTTTAATGAAATTGAATTGAAATTCCCAGGTGGCAGGTTGCGGCCCGCAGCACCAGCTGCTGCTGCCCAGGCCTTCTCTGCCCTGAGGCTGATGTTTTGCTCTCCTGTCTTGTCTTGAAGACCTGGAGCCACCTCTTCCCCACACTTGACTTCATCTTCTTTGTTCACTTGCCCTTTCCATCCTGTTTACCTGTCTGCCAGCAGCTGCTACACTACCTGCCAGCTTTAATTCTGCTTCATTTAAGCTCGTTTGCACCAATTTCCTTTTTTAGAACAATCCGCGCAGTCCCCTGAAGAGCAGCACATGCTGTGAGCGGCCCTGCTTCCCTTTTCCTAATGAGCACAGAGCAGCAGTGTCCTTCCTGCTGAGAACTCACTGAAAGCCCTGTGCCAGGACAGGAGGAGGCCTACACTCAGATGCTCATTACCTAGTGGGCACGAAATCAGGGCACACGCTGTGGAAATTCTGAATGTTAAGGGGATGGGAAGTCCAAAGTGCTTTGGGTGCTGACCTGCTTCCTGAGGTGACTTTTCCTCCCTCACAGCTATAGGATCCACCCACGTCCTCATCACTGGGGCTTTAGGCCTCACCATTCTGGGGCTACAACTCAGGAGAGGGGTCTGTTCTGCTCCCTAGAAATTGGAGTGAGAAAGAGGTTCAGAAGTGGTGGCCCCGCCCCAGGGAATGTTCTCTCTTACCCTTAGAGCTGGCAACACCAGAGGCCGCAGAATTGCCTTTCCTGTGCAATGGCCTACAATCTCAGCCCAAAGTGGGAAAACACAGACTTCCCACCACATTGTCACACCCACCTCTCACTTTCTGCTGCTGCAGAAGACTCAGCACATAATGAAATCATGTTGCTTTTCATAGAAATGAAGCCACGGCAGGAACGTGGCAGGCAGAAACTGAAGGGCCAATGAGACTCATCTGGAAGAAGAGAACTTTCTGGGGTTGGGTCAGCCAGGAGAGGGAACTGGAACTTTGGCCTCAGCCGGAGGAGGTGGCAATCCCACCTCCACCACCAGTTCACTGCGACCTCAGGCAAACCCTGAACCTCTCTGAGCCTCAGTTTCCACATCTCTAAGGTAGAACTTTTCATACTTGCCTGCCTTGCATGGTTGCTGAGAATAAATGCGGTAATGTACGTATCTGGTAGTGTATGTATCTGACATAGGGAGTATCCAATAAGTAAAAGCTTTTATAACCACTTACAGGCTTTCAAACAGTGAGTGAGGCCATCTTATGGTGCTTCAGAGAGTCATATTGCCTCATTACCTTAACCATTCCCTCCTAAAAGTGCACTGGGGCTTGCTGAGGGCTTGGAGGGCCTCT